TGACTCATCCACATGGCTGACACTGACAAAGGTTCTACAATCTGAGGTACAGGATCTCAGAATAAATCCTGAGGGGATTTCACTGACCTTATGAGACCCAAAAGCTACAACTCTTGTTGCATAGGTCCTGCTTTACCTTGGTTTTAACCGCCCAGTAGAAAAGTATGAAAATGGAGTATAAGAAGTAAAGCCATGCTGTTATGTTCAGCTGTACGGGACCCAGGTCAACAATTTCTGATATTGCCTGTTAAGCAGAAGACCCAATACTGTTATGGATTACTGGACTCTTTTAGAATATTTTGCTGCGTTCACACACCTATAGTATTCAAATAATGGAACTTAACAAAAAGGGCTACATAGGTGAATGTCCATTTTGTATCTGTGTATTCAAAATGGTCAGGATAGATATATGGTTGCATTCTCTTAATGAGTAGAGGGACTTGTTCTAATAGTGTTTGTAAATAGTTAATAATGTCTACATCTTGTACAGCAATTAACCACTAGGAAGAATGTATGCAATGTGTTAATTATTGAAACTGTCCTACCAATTTGGTTTAAAACTGTCTCATTGCTATTTGTTTCTCAATAAAATTTTGGAAAAATAAAGGTTTATATATTATTTATTTTTATGATCAAATGTGTTGCTCAGATTAAGATATAGTTATGTAAGTTTGGACATATCTGCACATTATTGTCTTCTTTCAAGAAACCTCAATTTTTTTCTGTATTTTGGGCAGGGTCTACAGAGTGTTCAGGGTCTCACTGCATAGAGCTGACTTGTAGTGATTCTGTTTTTAACCTGCCAAGTGCTGGTATTAGAGGCACATTACCACGCCCAGTCTCTATTGTGGGCTCAGCACACCCTGGGGTGGGACTGGTGAGCACACCACTGGGGAAGAAACCTTCAATTTTTGTTCCTGTTTCTCTTTTTTATTTTTTTACCTTAAAGAAATTGTTTTATGACTAGGCGTGGTGGCACACATGAAGAAATAAATCTATAACAGATAAAGTAAAATAAGACCTGAAATATGTAACAGATATAGTAAAATTGGGAGACTGAAAACAGGAGAATCACTACAAGTCAGATGTGTGCAGTGAGACCCTGTAGACCGTGTACTAAATACATTTTAAAAATTGTTTTAAAGAGAGTATATTAATAATTGATATGGCATTAGAAGTGATACACACTTCGAAGACCTAGAGGACAGATACTCAAACATGGTTTTTGTATTACACATTGCTATCCTCAATGCATTTGTTTAGATTGCAGCTATCAGCATGCAGAATTAGTCAAGGTGAAAATTCTACATATTAATGCTATTTTCAAAATACCATTGAAGATTTTTTAGTACAATCACCTCAGTATTCCCGGATATATATTTGTGTGTTTTTCATCTACCTCTTGTCTCTCTAGTGTAAGAACCTGAAAGAAGAAATAAGACCTGAAATGTATAGCAGATACAGTAAAATAGAAATGAAACTTAAGGATTAAACAATGAAGAGGAGAGAAAAATAGCTATGTATTTATGTGAGAGAGACACAGTGAGGGGACATAAGTGCTGGGTCAGACACAAACCTTTCTGCACAGGCATTTAGGAAGCTCCAGACATACAGCACAAGAGCTCATATAAAATACTGGACAAAGAAAGAGAATAATAAAGGATTTATAGAAGAGGGAAAGGAGATGGATGTCCCACAGTAAGAAAGTGGCCCAAAGGAAAAGCGCAAAGGGTGAAGAGGACGAAAAGACGAGTAGGTAGAATAAAGTTTGCCCATGTGCGGAAAACTAAGAACCTCAATAAATGCAGACATTGCATTCCAGAACACAAGCTAAGTAAGATCATTATTATCAAGGATGGAACGTAGATTAGGGAAACATAATTGGTAAAAATGTTATTCTGGCGATTCCTCCTGAGAACAGATAGAATTCTAAAGGCATTCCTATATCTGCCATATACAAAATTAACCTAAAATATTGACATAATTCAAGTTTTCAGCAGTGGACTATTTTAAAAATTGATAAAAACAAGCAATAATTTCAAGCATCAGGCCTTCATGCTTAAAAATATTTATCTTCAAAATTCAGTTTTTTTTTTTTTAAACAACTGGATAAAATTTGAAGCTTCTCTGAGGGAAACAGAATATCTTTATTCTTTTGCAGAAAATTGCTATCATAGCACTCTAATTTTTTCATTTACACAATAGTTGTATTTCTCTTGACTAGCATGTATTCATTTGCTTGGATAAAAATGAGTAGATTGAGAGACAATGTGAAAATCTTGCCAAAGGAATCAACTACCTCATTCTCAATAGCGTACCTTCCATCTATTCTAGTCTGTTCTGGACTAGCCTAGACTCATATTTTCCGACATCAGAGGAGAGATTCTTCCAAGGACAGTGACCCTGAAGCCTTCTGAGCACATCTGTGAACCATTTCAGAACGAGACCCCTGAGTTCGTTCTGAAAATCGCAGGAACTTTGGAAGGTCAGGAGCAAAGCTCTTAAATACAAGCGTTCCTTATGCGAGGTGAGACTGATATCATAGGAGACAAGCTGCTCCAGAATGTCCTGGGTTAAAATCTGTCATCTACGCTCCACCCCTGCTGGAAAAGGTTTTTTTTCTCTTGTCATTTTCAGCTCAGCCGTCGGGCAATAGAGCGGGAGCCAATCAACAACGTAGGCGCGGGCTGTGCGAACTACCCAATCAGGTGGGTCGAGCAAGGACGTCACTTCCTGTGTCATGGCGTCGCCGTGTTGTCTGTGAGTTTGTTGCTTAGAGAGGCAGGCTGACGAGACCGCCGTTCTCTATCACTTCTACGGACTGCAAGCTGCATTGGAAGGATCCTAGGAGACCCTCAAGCTACGCAATGGTGACGTTATGGGACGGGAGGTGGGGACAGGGTGGAATAGGGCGCGTTCTGGACGGAAGTGGTCAGTACCAGCTGCGGCGGTCTGCAGCCTCCCTGCTTAGCTCCAGACACCCGAGGTGTCCTGGTCTGAGGTGCCGCATCCTCATCTGAAACATTTTCCCTTTTGCTCAGGCAGGGTCATTTCTGGGTCTCCAGCACACAGGCACTGTACTGTGACACTGCTCCTCCAGAATAACTTTTTGGTCAGCCACAGGCAGAGCTTTTGTCTCCACAGTTGTGGAGAGAGCAGGAGCTTTGGGGGAAAGCCCGAGTTTCGTATTCAGCAATGAAAAACTTAACACTTTAATTTATTGGGTTATACCTCTACTGACAGTATTTTTACTGCATGGACAGAGCTCGTCATCTCAGAAAATTAAGGAATGCGGTTGAGAACCAAGAAAAGGGTGTTAGAAGAGACTTTATTGGAAATAATAGGAAGAATAGCTCCGTGATTTCCAGAAGTTTCCCGAGTGAGTGGCCTTGTGGCTGCTTATCTAAATATAGTAAATGATCAGTTGTTTAGTGGCCGCCTATCACAAATGTTTCTGTAGATTTAAAACAACCATGTGGTTGGGGGCTGGGGAGATGGCTCAGTGGAAAATGCGCTCGCCTGGCAAGCGCAAGGGCCTGAGTTCAATCCCCAGTTCCGCAAAAAATAAAAAATAAAATAACATGTGCAACTCAGGCTCTCTAACCTTGGCATGCAGTGTAAAAAAGCTGGGATTGTAGAGAAACACAGAATCTTCTATTTTACATTAATGGAAATTCAGAAGCCTAGTAGAGAATTGCTCCACTCCTTTTGGTATGGAGGGGGTTGCATCCTCTCTTGTACAGAAAATTTAATCAATCTGAAGTCCTAAGTAATTGTTTATTGTCATTTAAATTCTTATCAAAGTGGCTAATTTCCCAACTTTGTGTTAGGTATGTTCCTAGCTGGTGGCTTTATCTATAAGGTAACTGAGTAAAATATTCTTTGTATTTAGGCTATTTAAATGAGAGTTTCCTTAGAGTGCTGAGAAAGATGGAGATGATGATACTGTATTACTAAGGGAGGACGAAGCATTCATGTTAAAGACAACTTCTGGAAGGGGCTGCCTATTAAACTCACACTGCAATATGCATTGAACTCTGGTATCTACTGGACATGCACATATGATCCTGGTATGATTGGAAAGGGACAGGGGCATCATATCTGAACTAACTCATTTATAGTCTGTGGATTGTATCTAGATACTGTTTTTTAAAATTGAAACACTGAATGAAATATTTGTATAAAACAAGTACTAAAGTATGATAAATTTCCATAGTTAAGGTCTGCAGGCATAGGAATACAGAAAATGAAAAGACTTTAAATATGCAAGAGCAAAAGGGAGTAAAAAGATAAATGGGAAAAGTTACATAGTTCTTAGAGTGATAATAAATGGTTTGTTTGCTGGCTTGTTCTGAGATTGGATCAAAGGTCAAAGGCCTCAAGAAAGGAGGATAACTTAATAATAGATAAATATTTCTTATGTGGGTACTGATGACTTCGCCTAATCATTTTTTAAGCAAAATTAGAAATTAGGAAACTGGTTTAAAACTGGTTTATTGTAGGTTTAAAAATAAGGTGGATGTTATCACTGATGTAGAATGAGAAGTGGTTCTGTTGGGCACAAAATATTTGAATGTGTGTTTGATCTTTTTCATTGTACCTTGACTGAACTCAAGAATTTGGTCCTGAGTTTCATCATTCCATTTTTTTCTACTTTCTTTCTGTTTTATATTTTAAAATTTTTATAGTAGATCTTACTAAGTTGCCCAGCCTTGGGATAAATTTTGATAGTTTCCTTGACTGTTGGAAACAGAAACTTGTGTCACCTTGCTAACTTAAAATTGGAGTGCTTAAAAAACATTTTAGGGCTTGAGTAAAGAAAAGATCACTGAGGCAAGGTGCTCCATGCCTTTAATTCCAGCTACTTGGGTAACTTGGACAAGAGTATTAAATCATCAAGCCCAGCCTGGGTAACTAGAAAGGCCCTTTTTAAGAATGAAATAAAATTTTGGGCTGATTCTCCCCTCCAAACTAACTTGTGCAATGTGCATGTGGCCCTAAGTTTCTAGTAATGAAGAGAAAAAGAAAAGTTATTTCATACAAGTCTTCCTTTTAATTTTGAAATTTACTCGATTTTCACATTAATGGCATACAGTACAATAACTTTCTTATGGTGCTAGATAGCAGTAGTCACTCCTCTGTCAGAAACAGAACCCCATGGGTGAAACAAACAGGGATTTACACTGTACTGTGTTCAGTAGATCAGATGAGGTATTTAGTATTTTGTTATGAATTTGACTTTGAACATTGCATGAATTTCCCCAATTACAGATCAAGGTATATGTGTTGAGCAGGTTTAAAGGATCCAAGGCATAGTTGTGATGTTTGATTGATCTGGTATATTTGTGCCTGTTTACTACATTTTAGCTTCATTTACCTTTGGACTGATGAAGATGTTCTTTCTTTCCAACTCAGGTAGCAGCCTCCTTTCTTCAACTCTTCATACAGTCCTCTGCAGAAAATGACACTAACCAGATTGCTTATTGGTTTGAATGCTATATTAATCAGTTTTTCCAGAGTAACCAAATTAGGAGAGCAGTGTTATGCTATTTGGAAAAGGGGAAAAATACTCTTTTTTTCTTTTCTTTGTTATTATTATTATTATTAAGAATTGTACCTCTCTGTTCACATTATATCACCAGGACAAGGGCATAGGATGGAAATTTTCATTGAAGAGGCACAGGACTGAGTAGTATGAGACCCCAAGCATGTGCAAGGTTTAGTTTAATTTATGCTGATTATGGGAATCTTCCTTATTGCTTTAACCTGGGTTCATCATCTGCCTTTCTACACTGGAATTATTCATGTTGAATAAGTTCCAAGCCTGTATATGTACTCTATTATCATACATTTAGGAAGTATGCAGTTCCTATGCAGAGGACATATTGTGGACTATATTGTAGTACTTGGTGAATCACCTGATAAAGGAAGTGGGTACATTCTTGTTTCACACAGCTGAAATGAGAATAAAGGCACATTTGTGTTTCCCAATAGAGAATAGATTGTGGTAGTGGGCTGTTGACTCTATTGGCACATTTTAGCTCCTTAATTTTTAATATGTCTTATTGTTAAGCTGTGTGCATTACTTGTATTGCTCAAGCAGACTGAATTACGGTGCACTCCCCAAGAGTGGTATGTCCCAAAAGCCATGTCTTCATGGGCTGGTTTAGGAAGTTCTAGGATGTGAAAGTAATGAGAAAACTCAAGAGCTTCAAGATAAGAAAGGACAATATGAGGGCCAAATTTTTTTAATATATTAAGATACAATTTGTATAATATTACACTGTGCCAACATTTCTGGGGATAATTTATTGGTTTTGGATATGTTACTGTATGAAAATCTGCTTAATCGTGCAGGTAATTTGTGTGAATTCATTTAATTAGCCCCATAACCAAAAAATGCCATTGATCTATAGTAAAGAAAGCCTCCATCAGCTTATGTGAATTCTGTGAAAAGTTTACTAGGTTGCTGCATTATTGAGGTTTAGTATGACTTCATGGCCCGATAGATGTCTGATTGTGTAGAATTTGTCCTAGCTGCTTTTAAGAACACATTCTGAGGAATACAGGTGTTTGGGTAGACCCAGGAAAGTTGTATAGTGTTGGTGTGCTTAGCCTGAAATGTGGTGAGTTGCCATAAAGCATGCATGGACGATTGTCAAGACACAGATAGTCAGGCACAAGAAAAGCTAAGCAGCACTGGTTTTATTATAGTACTTCTTATAGGAAATGTCTCTCATTGTTTCTTTCTGTGCCTACTATAAGCTATTCAGCTTTGGATACAGGAACTATATCTCTAATAATTTCATTGAATTCTGACATTATCCAAAGCCTGAACTCACAGGTGTGTTTGTGCAGTTCAGCCAGAATGCCTAGATATTATGCTGGTCAGATTTATGTTCCAATCTCAACTTCTTTTCCCTAGCACGGCCACAGAGGCATTCTCACAATGTTTGCTTGTTAGTTTTACAGTTTTGCTTAAAACCTGGGTTAGGGATTTGTGGAGAAGACTTTTGTTTTGTGCAAATTAATTAACTCTTAGAGTCTGGTGATTGACTCATTATCATTTTTCTTGTCCCTTTTCCCAGCTCTAGTGGAAAGACTTGACATTTCAACCACTGGATAACTGAACAAAATTGCTTTCAAAATTTTACCTTTAAAAATTTCTTACTCTTTCTTCATGTCAGTTATGTGCTATGCAGAAGCTACCTGGGTTGTACAGCCTCTGAGCGTATTATTAGCCTACAAAAGACTAAGTTTTCACTGAGAGATCTCACACATTTTAGAACCCTAGACTATGGCCCAATAATGTGATAATCTATGTGTGTTTTCCTAATTCCTGTGCTCTAAGAGGCCAGAAAGAAGTCACAATAAAGTTATTGTATGCTTCTAAATTGTTGCCATATGTCTTCTAATACAGTTTCAAATACAAGAACTTAAATTGAAAGATGTGACTAAACGTCCGGAAGATTCAATCTTAGGGCAGGTACAATTTTTGAAAAGGTAGGAAATTAAAAGCTAAGTAGTTTTGAAAGACACAACTAGATATAGGTGAATAAAAGTGTGTGGGAGTCAAGAGATAGCTTTTTACAGGGTAAACAAAACATTCAAATTCCTAGACACAGCATAATGTGACAAGATTCAACTAGAAGGGTAAGGGAATTAGCAATGCATAGTAAAAGTAGTGAATTCATACTTGATTAGTGGACCTCAGCATTGCGTCATAAAAAGTTTTCTGCCTTTTTTGTTTGCTTTTATTATTATAGTATGAGGTTTCCAGTGCTTCATGCATTCTAGACAAGCACTGTACTACTGCAGTGCAATCCACAGATCTGTTTTCTAATAATACATAATAACTCCCAATATGTTC